GAGAGAGGATAGGATGGTCTTGAGTTGATGTTTCCTGCTTTCAATTAAGTATGTTTCTGATGGGAAGAACAAGCACAGCTCAAGCAAATGTGCCTTGGGTCCTACAGCTTTAGCTCTTGAGTAGCCATTAAAATCCTCAAATCATCACTTATTTGACTTTTCTTAACAGGAACAAGCAGAAAGAGGCCTCTCGGTTGAGTCGACCTAATGATAGAGGGTATAATTCAATAAGTTGCCAGATAGCTTTACACTCTCGACCTAAAACAACCCCATAACCCCAATGCTCCTGTCAAACTCCCCGATATATATCATGTACATCACGCCTTAGACTTCTTTCCCCTCGCTTTCCCCTTTCCCCTCCCTCTCGTCTTACGCGCCTCGCTCTCGGCCTGATATTCTCCATCCTCTTCCTCCCCATACTCTTCCACATCCCCCTCATCCCCCTCCTTCTCCTCCTCCTCCTCTTCCACAACCTCCCTAGCCTTCCTCTTCCTCCCCCTCTTACAAATATTCTCAGTCCTCGAAGTGTCAACCTGACCCTCTTGCTCAACGCCTTCCCCAATGTTACCACCAGCAACCCCCCTCCTCAACCTCTCCACTGCCCTCGCCATCCGCTTACTCCCTCCTTGCCTAACCCTAGGCGCAAACGCCTCCCCCATTACGCCCGCCCCAACCGTCCCCGTCACCCACCTCGTAATATTCATTTGTGTGCCCTCTACCTCGCGCCGATTCATATCCCTTACCACAGGCAACAGAACCTCATCCGTTTTCTCCTTCCCCCAGCCCACGGTGCCCATGAGAAAGCGTCGAAGGCCTTCTACGTCGGGAACACCCCATTGGAACGGCTCCGGGGAAGAGTCGACTTCCGGAGAGAGGTATGCGTCCCAGACGGCGGGGGAGGGCCATCCGGGAGGGAGGAACAGCTTCGTCGCGTGGGCACGACGGAACTTAGTCCTCCACGGAGACGACGCATCAGCAGAGGCGGGGCGTCCCCGCTGCTGCACGTCAGTCCACCACTCAGCAAACTGGATCAAGGCTTGTTTATCGCCGGGGGGGAAGTGAGACAGTATCTCGAGGGCAGTGACGGGCCCGACGCCGGGAAGACCTTCGGTGTAGTCCGATCCGAGCAGTAACGCTAGAGAGATGAGTTGTTCGCGCGAGAGGGAGAGCTCGGACTCGATTTCTGATGCGAGGTAGCACTCGACGTATTTATTCGAGTTAAAAACGTTCTTGTACACGCGCGTGCCGCCGAACAGGAATGTGTCGCTGTCATCGGTGACGATGCCGTCTACCAACCCGAGACGGACGAGCTCGGCGCATTGGGCCTCGGCTTCCATGGGCGCGGTGATGTACGGGATGCCGAAGAGTTGCAGCAGGGTCTGGCATTCGCTGATCATGACTTGGGTCACTTCGTCAGCGTCGCGGCGGTCACGCTTTTGTTGGCTGCGCAGGGAGCGCAGTTCCTGTTCGTAGTCTTGCTGATTTTCGCGGACGGATTTATTGTTGAGCTGGCTGGCGAAGCGGGCGTGTTCTTCGGCTTCTTCGGCCAGTTGCGCGAGCAGGGCTTCGTCCTCTGGGTCGCTGAAGTCGGAGAATTCTTCGGCGGCGGGAGCGTCGGGGTCGATGCTAGTAGACTCTTCGAGAGGGACGTCTTCTTCATGAGGGGCTAGGGTTGCCGCTGTCTCCCCTATGGGCTCACTTGGGACTGGAACAGACTCAGTGATCTCGACGGTCAGCTTACGGGCAGTGGGCAAGGACACATCCTCGAACACAGCGTCTTCGTCCTCATCTGCCTTTACCTCTGCCTCTGCCTCTGCCTCTACCGACTCGGCCTGGACCTTCTCTGGTGTGGCGCTCTTAGTTTTTAAAGCTTCTTCTTGAGCAGCCCTCTCGGCATTTTCTTTCAAGAGATCTGCCAGAGAAGGCAGGCTAGCCCCTGGCTCGGGTGACGGCGCCTTTTGCACAGGAGCAGGCTTCGGCGGCGCATTCAGAATCTCGACATCGCTGTCGCTGCTCGAGGAGCCGATCTCGATGACTTCGTCGTCCCGGCCCTGACCAAACCGGAACTCGGCTTCCATCTTCTCGGCTCGAGCATTCATCTCTGCTTCACGCTCCTGCTCTTTTCTGAGCGATTCGCGGATATCGGTCGTGTCGGTCAGCCATGGAGGCAGCGGAAGCGGCTTCATCTTGTCGTTAGATGCCGATTCCTCAGGTTCCTTGATAAAGCCGCCAGCTTCGTCCTCAGACTCAGCTTCCAGCTCGCCTGTCTCCGTAACGTGACCCGTTTCTGCCTCCTTCCGGGCGGAGGATGCCTTCGCGCTCAGCATGCCCCTCCAGTCAAGCTTCTCAAACGGCAGGGGGCCGTCGAAAGGGCTCTTGGTAGCCTTCGCAGACGCCTGCATAGGCTGGGGCTTTGGCTCGGACTTAGTCTGCTTCTTCCTCGCAGCCGCCAAAGCAGCCTGCAGATCGACCTCACTGTCGCTGCTCTCGCTCTGCCGCCGACGTGGAACAGCAGCAATGGCCCGGTTGTTGACAATGTGCGCCACCACGCGGCCGTCTGTGCTCGTGATGGGCTTCGCTGGCTCGACCGCCCTCTGCTTCCACTCAGGGGGCGGGCTTTCAGGCTCTTCTTCCTCGGCTTCAATCTCTTCAGCTCCCGCAGGCTCAGGCCCTGCCTTCACCCCATGCTGCTTCTCCAGCGACATAGCAATCGCCCGACGAAGCCCCTCGTCCTCGTCCTCGTCCTCATTCGCCCTATGTTGATCCTCCAGGGATAGCGCAACAGCCCGATTGAGGTCTTCATCTCCTTCGTCCTCAAACAAATCTTCACCATTCTCAACAAACAGTCCCCCCTCTTCCCTATCCACCCCCAGACTCTCCATCTTCGGCTTCGGCAACCTATTCAGTCCCTCAATCGGGACATCCTCAAACTCCTCATCCTCCAGCTCCTCATCCTCGCTCTCCTTCTCATACTTCACATCCAGCGCATCCACATCAATCGGTTTATGCCTCTGCCCAACGTCCTTCTCTCTGCTGACCACACCCAACGCCCAACCTCCTTCGGCGCCCTCATTCTTCACCAGGATGTACTCCCTATTCCGATCGCTCGCAATCCGGTTCGGCCCGATCGTCAGATCCGTCCCAGCCATGCCCATCTCATACATGAGCCGCTGTGTGAGACGGTTTCGCTCCTTCACGCGCTCGATCTGAAATCGTGAAAAGGCCATGCGGTCCGGAAACATCTGGTTCAGCTGCTCCTTGCTGAGGCCCATGCGCAGGCGGCTGCGGATGCGAGCCGCGTTCAGAATGTTGTACCGGTCTGCGGCCGGAAGGCTCTTGAAGAAGTCGCTGTCGAAGTCGATTTTGCTAAAATCGTACAGGTTGATATCCGCGCCGTTCTGGAACTGCCGGGCGTACTCCTCTAGCTCTTCAAGGCTCATTATTCGCGGATCGTTCGGCTTTGCCATTTCCTCGATGCTCATGTCCAGATCGGGCAGATGGTACGCATCCTCCTTGCGAAACTTGCGATTCCTCAGTCTTTCCTGTCTCGACATTCCCAGCTCATCCGCATACACGATGTCCTCCATGGCAGGTAACCTCTCTTGTTCTTCTTCAACCTCCCTTCTCGCAGCCTCGTTCCCCGCCTCGGCCAACCTCTTCCTCTTCTCCCTCTCCTCCTCCGCCAACCTAGCCATTTGTACAGCCAGTATTCTCCCCGCCGTGCGTGCCGCATCCTCCCTCCTGCCCTCTCTCCTCCGTCTCCTTGCCTGCAGCGTAGCCCTCTTCAGCGCCGGCGCCCCCCCGTCAAACACAAACACGGGCTTGACGCCATACCACAGGAGCTTGCAAATGCGCCGGAAGAAGCCGACGAGGTGGCTGTTGCGAAGGGCGTTGCCTTCTTTGTCGCGGACAGCTTTCAGGAACTGGTAAATCCAGATCGAGGCATCGATAGCGAGGCGCTTGCGGTTGAGGGTTGCCAAGTCGGTTGGGCGTGCGGAGGGGGAGAGGATTGTCCAGAGGGATTGGACGCCCATTGTTGTGGTTGGATAGCGGTGACACTCTTCAAGGAGATTCACAGAAGGGACGGTTAAGAGCCCCTGGAATATGGGAGTGTTGGTTTAGGGGAGACATCCCCATTTGCAATTTGGTTCGTCTATCGACAGTATATCGTTATGCGACCCGTCAGAATTAATCTGCGCCCTTTTTTCTGATGGACGCTTTTCCTTTGAAAGTGACACATTTCAACAGTGGCGATGATGAAAGTCGAGGTTGAAGTCGAGAGGAGCTGCTAACTCCAAACCCTTGTTCGGCTGCCTGAAAGTGTTATCAGTCCGCCTATCGATTGGTTGATGGGTCCACTGCTGACTAGAAACGGAAGAACTTCATTACATGCATTGTACCTACGAGGTTTTTTTTTTGGGGGGGGGGGGGGGTTCGGAAGGGCAAGTTTTTGTGGGGTGAGGTGCGGAGTGATTTCAATGGAGCATGAGCTCTTCCATGTGAGAACCCGAGCCCATGAGTTTTTACAATTGTAAGCAGGTTTGCTGATTGACACAGACTGTTTGACTATAAGCGAAAAAAGACTTCGAGAACCTACCCTAGTTGAACTAGATATTTACAACATCATCTCTCATTTGATAATTTGAACCATCGCCAGGTTTCATATCTCACGCTTCCCTCACCAGCTTCATCACTCTGATCCTTTACCTTCCCACAAGTAAGCAGGATAGAATATAGGTCGTATAACTCTTGGTTCGTTTCTTATTCATCATTACTAGTCTCGACCAAATGCTAACATCACCCCCAGAACCCTCTGCCTAGAGGTAATCTCATAACCATATCTCTACCCATCAAGATGAGCACGACAGCCACAACGCCACACTCCCCCGTCCCCACAGCACCACCATCCTCCCAACTCCCTCCCGTTTCCACAACCCAGAGCAGTAAAATCCCCAAAGAAGAAGCCCTCTCCTTCCTGCATTCCCTTCTCAACAAAAACCTCCGCGTGCATACGACCGATGGGCGCATGTTCTGGGGCGAGTTTAAGTGTGTTGATTATGTGAGTTTTCCTCCCTTATCTTCCCTCTTCCCCTCTTCCCCTCTTCTCATCTTCTTCCCTCACTTCCACACACACACACACACACACACACACACACACAAGCCATATATATTTTTGATAGCTTGAGTTAATAAACGGATGTTATATGAAAAAGGAAAGCAACCTAATCCTCCAACACACCTATGAATACCGTCCCCCGACACAAACCCAGCTCTCGAAAGCGGCCGCAGCAGCCGGGATAGCCGAGTCATTAGGAGAGAGCAATAACACTGACAACAAGCTCAAGTTTGACATGACCTCCCGCTACCTAGGCTTGGTAGTCGTGCCAGGGAGATTCATTGTCAAAATAGAGAAAGAAGAGTTTGCAAGCCAGTTGAGAGGACGCGAAAGGAGGGGGTTGGGAATGGGAGGGCTTGGGCAGATTGTTTAAAAAAAAAAGGGGGGGGGTTTGGGCGGAGACATGAATAAGCGGGAGGGGATGGAGAAGAGAGGATGATGGGATGAGGGTGGGGACAAATGACAAAAATATTGGGTTAAACTGGCAGAAAAGTGAAGGAATTTTAATAGAGTTGACTCAAGGTCAGGGTTCACGTTGAATTTTGTAGGAGACGGTTGTTACGTTTTCTAACCTCTCAATCTTCATCTTGAGCTACAAACCAAACCAGAGTAAGATACCACCTAAACTGACAGGACAGTAACCCTATGTACGCAAGGATACCTAGAACTCCTTCTTCATCTCATGGGCATGTTACTGTTGCATATGCTGCAGCGCATGTATACGTCCCAGTCTGCGTCAGTGTCAGTGTCAGTCACCACCATCCCCAGGACTAACACCCGCATTCTCACCCACAACGCCATTTCATCCCCTCACTTACCACCCCTTCAGCCCCTGACATGATCATCATCATCACATACACTTATCCACTCATCAGCCCGTCCTTCATCCCTCCGAGTCAAGTCGTCGAGCCAGTTAGGTAGTTATCCAACCAAGCCGAACAAGTCCAATTCCCACATTCATTTGACATCCCTCCCAACCAAAAAAAAAGTCATTACATATACGTATTACTCAAGAGTCGTATGTGCTGTTGACAAACCACTCAGTCAGTCAATCAACCAATCAGTTGGTGGGTGTTGTGTTTGTTTGTGTCTCTCTCTCTCTCTCTCTCTCTCTCTCTCTCTCTCTCTCTCTCTCTCTGTGTGTGTGTGTGTGTGTGTGTGTGTGTGTTTGCTCATCAAGAAAATTTCCAAAACTTCCAAAATCCAAAACTTAACCTTCAACCCTTGATCAATCACAAAAGAACGAACCTTCCCTCCTTCCCCCCCCCCCACCACAAAAAAAAAAAAAAAGAAATACCCCAAAAAATCAATCTACCCTCTTACCTACTCAAGCAACAACCCCCTCATGCACCTGCCCTCCCCTTCCCCTTCCAACCCCGACAGCATCCCCATTCCCCAAACTCCCCTCCGACACCGACATCGACACCGGCACCGAGTGAACTGAATGTACAGAGTGATGCCTTCCTCCCATCATGCTTACCCCAGTACCCACAGCCGTCGACGACCCCGTCGAAGTCGTGGAACTAGACACCGGCGGGTGTGGCATATCCAATGGCCCCTCATCAAGATCGTCTTCATCTTCTTCGTCCTCCTCATCCTCGTCGGAGACATACTGCGCATGAGCATGGACCTGATGGGGGTGATGGGGCTGGGCCCAATCGTTAAGCGGGGCATCTTGTCCAGAGAGGTCATGGCCTAGGGTATGGGGGTGACCTTGGAGAGTTGTGCCGGTGGGTTGAGGCTGCTGCTGAGCGAGTGCTGCCGCGGCCGCAGGCGAGGCCTGGGTTTGGTGAGGGGAGGGATGGATGGGGAGGGAAGTCTGTGTCTGTTGGGGAGTGAGTTGGGCGACGGGGATGCCGGGTTGGGGTTGGTAAGTGAGTTGTTGTTGCTGCTGTCCTTGTTGTTGGGCCTGGAGCTGTTGTTGTTGTTGTTGTTGTTGTTGTTGTTGCTGCTGCTGCTGCTGGTGGTGGACGAACTCGCCATTGCGGGCACGGATGGTATTTCTGCGACGCTGGGAGAGGGTTCGGGCGCGTGGGGAGAGCTTTGCGGTGACGGCCGCGTTTTGTGCGACCCAATTGGTCAGGGCCTCCTCGCAGTCTTGGATGATGGCCTTGCTGGCCTCGTAGCCGTCGTACGCGGGGCGGGTCTCACCGGGGGTCACCGGCGTGTCGTCGATCAGGTCGAGAAGGTGCTTGCCGTAGGCGGCGATGATGGCAACCTTTTCGCAGTGCTCGCGTAGGGCATCAAAGTGGTAGGCGTAGGCGGCCTTGATCTTTTCGCGCGTTATGTTGGAGAGCTGGGCTTCGGCGACGAGGGACTCGGCTTCGGCGCGGACGAGTTCTTGTTCGAGGACGACGATACGCGGCGAGTTGGGCTCCTTGTACTTAAGCTGGGCGATTTGGTCCATGATTTTTTGCTTGCCTGGGGTTCATTAGCGAGCGACGCAAGGAGGTTTGTGGGAGGGCGACGTACGATCCCGGCTCGGCTGCACGGACGCCTCGATGTTCCTTATGCTCTTCATGGTGACGCGGTACTGGTCGTAGCGGTCGACGTATTGGTCCTCAAGCTCGCCGATCTCGTACAGCAGCACGCCAATCTTGTCGGTGACATCCGAGACGTCCTCATCGCAGTGTTCACCCCAGAGGGAGAGTTGTTGCTACAGACTTAGTAAGAATTCGACGATACACATTAGTAGGAGAGGGAGGGGGGGGGGAAGGGAAGGAGTTACGTACGGCTACCTCCATGCGCTCCTTGGCGACCAATTCCAGGCTCCGCATGACGTTCTTCTCCATCTTGACGAGCTGCGACAGCTTCTTGGCCAGGTCGGGCCCAAAGGCGCCGGCGGTGTTGCGGCGCAGAGCATGTCCTAGACCGCCTGTCAACCATCACCATGAGCCACGGCCCCCGTCACGACTAGGAAAACACTATAGTCTAGATGGTTATAAAGGGTACGTACTCAGACCTCCCTTGCCAAAGAGGCGATGCGATTTTGTGCTGGACGGGGGAGGAGGGGGGTTCTGTTGGGGTCAGTCAGCGTCACGACCTCAGGGAACGGACAATGGCGCGAGCGACAGACCTGCAGCTGGGATGCAGTTGGCGCTCTTGTCGAGCGCATAGAATACGTGCGATGCATAGTTCCGAACCGGCGTTGGCGCGTCAACTTGGTAGATTTGTTTGGAAAGATATGACGATGAGTCGGAGATGGACGAGAGGATGGATGTTGGGAATATTAAATCAGCGTCTGGCTCTTGCGGTACTTGTACGTGAGGACAGGTCGATTTGGCGAAAAAGCTCAGGCAATCGGTAAAAAGAAAAAAAAACCGGGTTGATGGAAGGACGGGACGGTAATAGCAGCAAAAGACGTGTCGCCACAGAATTACTGGCCTGCTTGCGATACAAGAATTTTGGGGTTCATGAAACAAAGGGGTGCATGAATACAGTACAAGAATGAAAGCGGCGCGATGGGAGAGGCCTGTGGATAGATGGACGGTGGAGTGCGCGGCCCGGTATGCTTTGCTGATCTCTTTGGCTGGTTGAGTAAGTGGGTTAGTGCCAGAAAACATCCGACGGGGCGCTGGCAGCTGGCACTGCTTGAATAGGTTCTCGGCAGCAAAGGTCTGGGCCTGGCAGCTTGCAGCCGCAAATGACGTCGTGGGCCACGCCAACTGGTCTTGGTTGGTAGCTGCAGCAGCCTTCTGGCGGCTCTGGCGGTTTTGGCTACCTCTTGTGCTGAGCTGTCGACGATGACTGGCACTAGAACGGCGATTGAGATACACTTCAACTCAACGACTCGTCACTGTCGAAGATCGTCGTCACCAAAACATGGGACCCTTCCAGTGTTTTCCGGCGAGAACCTTGCGGTAATCCACAGGCAGGATTCACACCGCGAGAGATATGTAGTTAGCCGTAGCATTCAATTAACCAGATGCATCGGCATCGCAGGGATTGGCACCTAATGGCTGAGCAATGGCTCCACTGCCGATGAACCCTGCCGTTTCGCTGATTCGCTGATTCGACGGTGTGGGATTTTGCCAAGCCTAAGATTTCTGGGCCGGCGGGCCCGGGTACCGATGGGTTAGTGGGTTCGACCCAAGCTTGGGGACACTCAGCGCAAGCCAAGAAATCGCGTCTTGAGCTTCGCGTCAACCTCCAAAACTCGATGCTCAGGCCTGTATCGTCATCGCATCTTCTTTCTCACGATTTCTGAAAACATCCCCGCGGCGAGTCGCGTCCGTTCGATTTTGCTCCAGGAAATATTACAAACCATCAAAGCATCCGATCGCAGACCAATTCGATCCATGACCTCGGCGAACTCGAGGTTGTCGACGACGACGACGACGACGACTACTACCATGTGCATGTGCGACGCCGACGACAGTGCGGCCTGACCAAGCTCCAAGAGAGTTTTGCATAGTTTGTGGCGATCCAAGCACAGGTACCGTCGACCCATTGCATCGCTTTGACCACTGCGCTCCGTGTTCCGCGGCCTCTCTTCTACAGTTCGAGCGGTACGACCCCGCCGGACTGCCAGCATCCGAAGCTCAAAGACGGCGCGGGAGAGAGGTTAGGGGATCCGACTGCACCGCTGCTTCTAGAAGACTGCCTTCCCCAATGTCGCCCGCCCGCGGCGATGCCAACGCCAGCGTGGCTAGAGCGAGCGGAGGCTCCTCCAACGGCGCCGTGACCGCAGACGAGGTTGTGGTGCAGGTAGACGACTCGGACGAGAACAGGGAAAACCTGAGGGACAGGGACAGAGCCGATAAGCTGGAAAAGCTGGAAAAGGACGCACACGCCCGCTCCCAGACCCAGACCCAGGTCCAGGCCCCTCCTGTCACCGTCTCCAGCTTCAGGAGCGCAAACGGCGATGCCATCCGTGCGTACCGCTCCGAGACCGCCCTGACCATGAAACCACGTCCCCGAGGGTCGACCTCATCCACTCCTACTACCACGATCCCGCCTCTCAGACCCGGCAGGCCATCGAGCCCTGAGTCGCCCTCGCTGAAGCGACTCTCTCCTCGTTACTCGCCCACAATACTGGCATCCAGGACCTCTCGCTTCTCCAATCGCACCGGGATCCGAGACTCTCAGTCGCCTTCGCCCATTCTAGCCGACGAGATGGTCGGACGCGAGTCGCTCAGGAAGCGGCCGGCGACCAGCAACACGCCAGCCCCTAAAACCCCTACCCCGAAAAACACAGAATGGACCGTCGACAAGATCGCCAGCGCGCTGAGCGTCCTGGCCGAGGAAGTGCCCCAGAACCACTCCCGTCTGGTCAACTTCCTGCTGGAGGAGACCGAGAAGCGCGCGCCGCAGCCGAGACATCTCAGCAAGACCGACCCCTTTGCTCACATGAAGTCCAAGGCCATTGATGCAAACCGCCCGCGGCCCGAAGGCGTCCCCACCATGGATGTGAAGTTTAAGCAGCACAGCGGCGAGTACGGCAAGTCTAGAAATAGTGGACGCCGCTTCCAGTACCCCGTCGTGTGCATCAAGCCCGACAGGGAGCCGGTGCCGCCCTATCGCTTTCACCATGCTGAGATTCGCAAGAACATCCTGGCGCTCAACTCGCAGCTCAATTTTGTACCACATCTGCGCGACGTCGACCCGAACTCTGCCGAGGAGCAGAAGTATAGCGCTTGGCTAATGGACCTGGAGAACCTAGACAGCAAGTCAGGCTTCAAGATCCAGCCGCGCAGCCAGAAGATTGCGAAGCGCGCGCAGGCCGAGTATGCGGCCACGTTGGCGCCGTATCTGGAGCCATGGCTGCGCAAGCTCAACATCGAAGGCTGCACCAAGTCGAACCTGATCCGCTTCATGGCCAGCCAGCCCGAGAGCGACGACTCCATGACGCCTCAGCAGAAATCCAACCTCCTCGACACCTACAGCGACGACATGGGCTCGCCACAAGCCGTCCGTAACGCAAGCATGTTCACCGAGGCTTGGGACCGCGTGTTCAACGACCAGTCCAAACTGCGCCGCGTCGCCCTGCGCGACATCCTCATGCTCGACAAGAATGTCGAGCCCATCTTCGACAACAAGCGCGCAAAAGACGCCCCCGGCTCACAAAAACCGCCCGACGAGGCCCTCATGCAAAAGGTCATCGACGCCCTCGGCAGCTACACAACCCTCGGCTGCCTGATCTGCTTCAGCCACGACTGCGAGCACGGAGAGATCGAGCGCGACAACCAGAAGCGTTGCTTCTCGCTGGAAGAAATCGGCGGTCTGATGCCGTCTCTGCGCAGAAAATGGGCTGCGCAGATCGAGCAGAGGCAGAAGACCGAAGGCGGTAGCGCCAACGCTCCCCCGGCGCATCCCCCCTGCAGGAACGAATGCTACCGCATCCACGGCACCGGCGATCCAAACCAGCAGGTTCCCCCCTGGTCCGAAAACGAAGTCGGCACCCTCGAATGGATGTTCGCCACCATCGGCTACAGCCAGACCCTGCGCCCGGAATGCTTCGTCGGCGCGATCCTGGGCCGACCCTGCTGGGACGTGCATCGCAAGCTGCAAGAGCTGGATCTTCGCTTGCCCCCCGTCGAACCGCGCACCATCCCCAAGCAAAAATCCCTCCCCTGGTACGACCGCCGCAAGAAACAGCTCATGTCCGACTGGGCCGACGCAACCATCACCCATGAGCACGCCGTGCGCGAGCTCTTCGCGCCGTGCCACCACGACGGGCCCTGTACGGCCGCCAACGGGTGTCCCTGCGCCTCGGCGGGCACTCATCCCGTTTTGTGCGAGCGGTTCTGCCTCTGCACGGCAGAGGAGTGTCCTTTGAAGTTCACAGGCTGTGCGTGCCACTCGTCGGGCAAGACTTGCTTACAGCGGCAGCGGGAAGGCAGGCCGTGTATCTGTGTACAGCTGAATAGGGAGTGCGATCCGACGCTGTGTAAAGGGTGCGGGGCGAGAGAGAGGGCGGATCCGGAGAATGCGTATGACGAGGTGTTGCACAGCACGGGGTGTCAGAATGTGGCGCTGCAGAGGGGAGCTGCCAAAGCGGTGGTGCTGGGAAAGAGTCAGCTGGAGGCGTGCGGGTACGGGTTGTTTGCGGCGGAGGATATCGAGGAGGGGGAGTTTGTGATTGAGTATACGGGGGAGCTGATTAGTCACGACGAAGGGGTAAGGAGGGAGCATAGGAGGGGGGATGTGTTTGATGAGGAGAATAAGGTGTCGTATTTGTTTACGTTGCTGGAGCAGGAGGGGATCTGGGTGGATGCCGCGATCTACGGGAACTTAAGCCGGTATATCAATCATGCGACGGACGGGAATATCATGCCCAAGATTATGTACGTCAATCATGAGTGGCGGATTAAGTTTACCGCGATTAAGGATATCAAGGCCGGGGAGGAGCTGTTTTTTAATTATGGGGATAACTTTCCGAATTTGACCAAAAAGTTGGTCGAGAGGAATGAGCAGTCGGGAGCGGAGACGACGCCACAGCAGCCGAAGAGGGCGAATGGAGCGGCGACACAGAGAGCGACGGCGAGAAAGACCACGTCCAAGGCAAAGGGGGAGGGGATTGGTTTCGATGATGACGACCGGGATGGGAATGATTCGGACCCGGATGACCTGTGGATGGGCGACGTCCCCGTTGGAGATGACGACGATGGGCTGGATGACTGGGAAGAGAGGGCGGCGAAAAAAGAAAAAGAAACAACGCGGTGGGAGGAGGCCGGGGGCTGGGCGTAAAAAGAAGAACCCTCACCTTGCTGAGCAACAGCAACAGCAACAGCAACAACAACAACAACAACAACAACAACAACAACAACAACAACAACAACAACAACAACAACAACAACAACAACAACAACAACAACAACAACAAGCCCAGAAACCTCAACCGTCAACATCCCACCAACCCCAATCCCGCGCAGAGCGCTCCTCCACCGAAACCGGCAGCGAAGAAATCTCTCCGGACAAACAACTCCGTCGTGAGAACCACGACGCACAGCGTCAACTCTTACACCAATTCCAGCAACAAGAGCAACAACAACAACAACAACAACAACAACAACAACAACAACAGACCCTACCGAGAAAGGAGCCCAAGAAAGAAGAACTGGAAGAAGAGATTGATCTTGACGCACCCCGACGCAGTCGGCTCAAGCGCCGGCTGGAGGCCCTTAAGGGGGATTCTAGCAGCGGCGGGTCGGCGAATGAACAGCCGCCGGTTAAGAAGCCTTCTCGTAGAGGAGGGGCTCGGCCGGGGGCTGGGAGGAAGCCGAAGCATCGGCCGCCGGGGGCTAAGGGGAAGGATAGTAAAGGGAAGAAAGGGCCGAGTTCTTCGGCTGGGGCAACCACAGGGGCAGGGTCGGGAGAGTCATCTGGGGTGAACGAGACGGGTGAGGAGGAGGTTGCTGTTAATGGGAAGAGTGACAGCAAAGATGAGGCAAAGGAGGAGGAGACGGATAAGGAGAAAGAGGAGGATGAGAAAGTGAACGAAAAGGACAGGGAGAAAGGGAGGGACTCTCTTTCCTCGCCGACCGAGGAGCCTATCGCATTCTTACCAGTTACAAAATCTGCCCCGTCACCAGCTAAGAAGCAAGCTAGCTCACCAACTAAGATATCCGACTCGAATAGAACTACATCCAAAAACACCTCTTCCAACAACAACAACAACACCAACAACAACAACAACAACAACAACAACGAATTCCCCTCCCCTGTCATCAGCCCCCGCAAAACCCGCTCTTCCGATCACCTTACTAACTCCCAACCAGCAGCACTAAGTCCATCAGCAACCACCCGCAAACGCAAAGCCTCTGACCTCACCTCCGACACCCATCTCTCCGCTGCTGGGAAAGGGTCAGACCCGTCAACAATGACAACAACAACAACAACAACAACAACAACAACATCATCATCATCATCATCATCATCATCATCATCATCATCATCATCATCATCAAAGGCCCAACCCATTTTGGAGGAAAAGGGTGACGATGACGATGAGAACAATGAACCTATCACCTCACCCTTGAAGCGACAAAAAACATCATCATCATTATCATCATCACATTCAATGTCGGTTTTTTCAGAGGCCAAAGAGGGGGTGAACGGGGCGGTTCCAGGGAGTGGGAGGAATTTAAGGAGTAGTGGGGTTAAGGTTGACTCTTCAGGGTTGAATTCAACCTCATTATCACAAGAGAGGGGCGAGAAGCATGAGAAGCACGAGAAAGAGAAACCGAAAGAGAAGAAGGGGGAGAAGGAGAGAGAGAGGGAAAGGGACAGGTCGGAGGAGGCTGATGAAGAGTTGCTGCCCATGGACCGGTCCATGAGGAAGAGGCAGAAACCGGCGCGGTATCGAGACGAGGGGGAGTAGATTTTCTAGTAGGCTTCGTCGCTGTGCTGGATGGATGCTCTATCTCAATGGGTGGCCGGCTAACCGATTGGAGAGTTGGAAGGGTAGAGACTACCTAGATGGAAAGAAAAGGTGTCAGTGACATACATAGCATATCTCGCTGAAGAGAGTACTCGCTTATGTTTGAGCTTACCTGGCCTAACCGAACCAGACGTAGCTTAAACAGAAAGATTTTTTTTTCAAACAAACAAACAAAAAAAAAGAGATAACATAGAGTGATCCCAAAACCCTCGTTCATCTGTGTTTGAATTTTGTTCGTAACGTCTATCCCTTCTATACAAATATATATTAAATGTCTCCTCAAAACTTTTTCTAGGTGTTTTTAGTGTCGGGACTCTATGTCCTATTCGTCTTTCTTATCTCACTCCCTTCTCACCTTCTGCCATTAACCACGTCAAATACTCCTAAATGCTCAATCCCTCACCAAATCCCAAACTTCAATCCCCACTCCAGCAATCATGACCCTTCCCTTGTCAACGACTTCCACCGCGCCCGCATCTGCAATCCCGCTGTACTTATTCTCCAGTAACTGTACGTTCAACTTCAACTTTTGGTGGTCCTCTTCTTGAAGTGAAGACTCGGCCCGCCAGAGTTTAATCCTCTGGTCATTGCTCACCGTCACAACCTCGAGGGCTTCAACTGCATCTTCCTGAGAATGACTGGTGATGCACACCCCCGTGATACCAGCTGCATGTGCAGAGGCAATCCGGTGCCTGGACAGGACAGCGTAGCTCCCCTCCGGGGTAAGCGTCAAATCACAAAAGATAAGCGCGTTATCATCCCCTCCCGTGACGACCTTCCACCTTGTACTACCCTCCTTAGCAGGCGATTCAGCCAGATCCAAGCTCTTGATACTGCTCTGGTGCAGCTTAACCGCCACCGCAAGTCGGAACACCCTCTGACGGGGCTGGAATTGACTCTGCTCCCCGTCTTGTGTCGTCACAGGCGAGGGCGCTGCTGTAGCCGTCCACACAGCAGCATTCCCGTCTGTGAATGCCGTCAGGACGTGGAGCGTCACCTGCTCATCCTGATTCTTCCCCTCAACCTTCTGGACCATCAGATGCCGGATCTGAGTTGGACACGCCCCCGTATACCTTGCCCTCGCTAACGGAGTGAACGTTCCCCCCGTCCCTCTGCCTTTCCCTGTCCCTCTCCCTCTGCCCTTAGGAGGGAGAGAAGCTTCCTCTCCACTGGCCTCCAAACTCGAGGTGTCGTCAGCAGCAGCAGCAGCAGCAGCAGCAGCAACCGGAGGAGGAGGAGGAGGAGGAGGAGGAGGCGTATAAACAAACGCCCTCACCGACGAATCCGACAGCACCATGGTAATCAACATCCGTCCCGACTTTCTCTCCCCTCCTTCCGGGCTAGATTCAAGATTGTACGGCCAGGCAGCGATATCAAAATCAACGATCCTAAGATCCCTGTCTGAGTTGGGTTCTGTCGGATCAGACCAAATTGCTTCCCGCACCACGGCGGTCGTGGAGTATTTTTGCGAGGAAATGGTGCTCACCCGCCAAACGAAGAGTTCCTCTGAACCGGCGGAGGTTAGAAGGTAGCGTTCTTTTGGCTCTGAGGCTTTCTCTGAAGATTGGGGTTGGGAAGGGGTCACGGAGGGGAAGGAGAACCATTTCGCGGCTTGGATACCCGCTGAGTGGCCTTGGACGATGGCGACGCATTCCATTTGCTCCTCTTCCTCCTCCTCCTCCTCCTCCTCCTCCTCCTCTTTATCTTTGCCCCCTTTCTTGTCAGGGTTGTCGGATGGTTGAGTCCGTGGTTTGAGACGCCACACCCTCAAACTGGTATCCTCTGCTCCTGTCACCACCATCACCTCTTCTTCGTCTTCCTCTCTCCCACCACCATACGTCGACGCCAAAGCTTTAATCTCCCTTCCTTGCCCCCCAGCACGGACAACCCATCTGCCTCCCACTCCCGGTCCTCCATTCCCTTTACCCGTCGTTCCCTCACCCTTATCAGACCCCCCACTCTGCGACCAAACACATAGCTTTCCTGCCCGGGGAAAAACCAACCTCACTTGCTCTGGCTTGTCCGCCCGCGCAAGCACGGCGAATGGGCGATGGGCACCGCCACACTCTACTGAGGCCAACAAGCTGTTTGAGCTGGAGGTGGAGAGGCATTGGAAGAGGGTTTTGTGGAAGCCTAGGAGGACGAGGTCACTTTTTTGCCTCCTCGTCTTCCCTTTCTCTTCAGAAGGGACGGTGGTAAAGAATGCCCCTTCCAATGTAGTCATGGGCGCGGCGGTTTCGTTCCGCAGCGTAAGCTTACCACTAACGTAGCTGTAGATCCTATACCGGCCGTCGCGGCAGGTGGTAAGGAAGATCGTTTCGCTGCTGGGGAGGGGGAGGATGGTTGTGACAGCGTCCTTGGTTCGGCAGTCTTTCCGGGATAGAACGGAAGTAAAGTGCCCTGTAGTAGGGTCCGGCGTGAGCATGGTGATTGAGCCAGTCCTCGAGCCGAGGATGAGGGTCTCGGGGGTGAGGAAGCACGCCGCTGTGACGATGTAGTGCTCCGGGAGGAGAATCTTTCGCTCGTCGACGATTGCTGTGTCAGCCGTGGGGTCATAGTGCAGCAGCACGGCGTGGTCAGAGGCTAGGATCGTGACAACCACGCTCCAGGGGCGCGGCTGGGCACCAGTTGACCGGCTGACTGGCGCAGGGTCGAGTAACACAATATCTGAGATCTTGTTCGGGAACTGCGCGATCTGACGAACTGCCAGCCCCTCGCGGTAGAGATATATCTTGCCAGAAGCACTCCCCAGCAGGGCGGTGTCCTTCGCAGCTTGAGGGGTCTTAATGATGTTGTATGACCGTAGATCAGCAACAATCTCCTCCGGCAGGGGAACCTCCTCCCAGGTAAGGGTGTCCCCCAGCTTGGCGAGCAGCAACCGGCCGATTGAAGTGGTCACCATGAGCCTCTTGTCCGAGAGGAAGGCATACCGATGAAAGGCGTGCTTCACATTTTTTGTGGTCGATGGCTCCGCGGGTTGGGTGCCAGATGGCAAGCTCTGGAAGACCTCATCCAACGTGAGACTCAAGTCCAGATCTTCGAACGGCTTTTGTCGTTGTTGCTCTTCCTCCTCCTCCTCCTCCTCCTCCTCATCAACATCAACATCAACATCATCATCATCATCATCATCATCATCATCATCATCATCATCATCATCATCATCATCATCATCATCATCATCATCATCATCATGCTTCTCCTCCTCGTACTCCCTCAACCGACCCGTAACCACGATCCTCCCATCCGCCCCTCCCGTCGCAATCAGGGGCTCCTCATACATCGGTGCATGCACTGTCACAGACCAGATATTCTTTCCCGTATGCGCCGTCTCGCCCCCACAATTCTTTAATGTCCCCTGTAGCGGGCCCTCCGTGGAAGAATCTAGGCTCAACTCCCACCTCTGCCGCGAGGCATCCTCTCCAAACGAATATACCTCCACAGGCCAGGTATCCGTCCTCCCGAACTTAACGTGCCATATCCTTGAGACATGGCCCATGGCGACAGCAACACAACGCGATTTATCCTTGCTGACGTCGGCCTCGGACCGGTCGCCGCCAAAGCCTGTCTCTCTTGGGGTGATCAACACCTTTTGAGTATCATTCCCACCCGTAGACTGCCATCCATCCCGCTCAGTGACATCCCATATTCTCACCGTCCGATCATCGCTGCAGCTGGCAAGCAGCCTAATCTTCTCCCCTTTGGGAGTAACTATCGGCGGGGAGATCGCTACGCCAAAGATAGATCCCTCATGCCCCGTAAAGACATGCAACACCTCCGCACTGGTCTTAATCACCGGACTCTCACTATCCCAACAATACTTCCACAAAATAATCTCGCCAAACACGGTCCCCCCAGCAACCAGAACGACACCCTTCTGCAGAAAACACAAACTCGCCGAATAAAGGATCGGCCTCGAAGGCGATGTCAGCTGTGGACAAGCCCAGAATAAGTGCCTTGGCGGGTTGAGCAGGACAAAGTCATCGTATATCACGCCGACTTGAATAACCTCATTATGCGCCGTTACCAGCGCACCCTGTGCCCTCATTAAACCCATATCACTCTTATACGGCCACAAAATCCCATCATAGATCCAGTCCGGCGCCGTGTACACTTCCAACTCCCTCTCCAGCGGCCGGCCTTCCGTAAGAGCAAGTACGTCGCGTATGCTCAGCAGCGTGACGCAACGCCCTCCCCAGGCGAGGACATATCCGCCTGCGTAGATCGTCGTCTGTGTTGGGATCTTTTCCTTAATCTCCGGCAGGTATGGCGGCAGGACATATAGCCCGTGGATCGGCTGCCCCTCGAACAGGCGCGCTTCGCCCAGCAGCCGGGAGGTGCTAATGTCGTACACCCGGAGGAAACAGTCCTCGCCGGAGAGGAGGAGGACATTTTTGAAGGTGTGGTAGAGGTAGGTGACAGGAGACCGATTCGTTGGGGGAGGACGGTAGAAAGCGAGGGCAGTGACAGGGGTGATGTTGTGGGTGAGGGCAAGTTTAGTTCTTGGAGGTGGCGGCATGGTTGGGGCCTGGGATGTGTTAGTTGAGCTACCTTGTGTCTGGACAAACAGAAAAAGGGAGTGAAGTGAGGTGGGGGAGGGGTGAAAGGCTTAAATCACGGGTTGAGATTTGAGATGAGGGGCAGAATTATTATGGGTTAAAAAGAGTGGCAGAACAATTGTGATGAGATCGGATGGACACAAAACAACTGGCATTTTACCTCTTTTCCCGTTGTGGTGGAAGTTGGCATGTTATATAACTTTGGGTGTCGGATTTAACATTTATGTTAGGCAGTCTGTTGTCCTCGACTAATGCTGTGTAAACCATTTATTTATTGCCATGGGAGTCGAGGTGAAATCTTCATGTGGGACTAGGTGGAAGTGAGGATAAATTTCTTGGCTTCGTTTGCTCCCTGTATAACCCTAACCCTGGATCTAAGTAGCAATTGGAGCGAGGTTTTCAAGCACCACCAAGCAAAATGCCAACATCAGCTGGGGACTAGTTTTGAGAAAGACAAAATAACAGGCTTGGAACTTTCACGGAAGGAGAAGAGGAGATGAGAGAGAGCTGTCGATGCCATGGATGGGTGGTGATGAAGTTGAAGCCCTCACATATCACATATCGCAACAAGATCTTGGTGCCAACTCTGAAAAGTACCTGTCGTCGAATGCATCTAAGTAGGCACGCATCACTCCAGCTTGAGAGACCGAGTGGATCAAGGTTGATGATAGTCAAGATGATATATTCACTACTACTATCTCTCCCAATCCACACGACAAACTCCTCATCTCTCCGACACAACAAACATTAGAAAAAAAAAAAAAACAACGCAATGCCAATCAAATGAAGAACCATTCCGTTAATTCATTCCACCCATCAGCTCAAGTTAAGAGGCCATCAGAATCGAAGGTCAAAAAGCCTAGCGCGAGCTATCTCCCATCTGCCCTCACGCCATCTCCCACCAAGCCCTAACCGACCAGAACAAACCGAGCAAAAACGAAAGCCAGTGTTCGAAAAAGAGCAATCGATGTAGAATCCACCGCCCCCCTCCCCCCGCCGCCAGGAAAAAGAAAGAGAACAACGAATAAACAATAGGAACAAATATTAAGAAAGGTCAAGCAACGAAAACCAAGCCAAACCAAACGACCAAGACAAGGCTTCTAAAGCTAGGTAGGTCCATGAGTACCTAGGTAGAGTGGACTTGTTGCACGTAGAGGTCCATCTCTTGGGCAAGGTAGTGAAGCAATTCAGGTATAGGGTCTTTGCAACAACACATGAAACCGAATCTCTGTGAGCGGGAGTGGCAGGGTGGCAGCAGGGAAATTGAATAGACCAAGCTTCTACCTCCCCTGCTTCCCCCCCCTTCCGCTTCCACTGTCACCCCCCAATTTTGAAGTCCCCGTTAGGAGACACCCTGACTCTGAGATACGTAGGCTTGTACTTGGTTTTTCATGCGTCTTCCTTCCGCCTGTTGCTTCTCTTCCTCTTGTTGTTTTTTTTGTTACATCTTTCTTAACGCGCCATCCTTTCTTACTTGTTCTCCTCTTAACCATCTTCCCAATACCACCCCCCCCTTTGACCCGACTCAAGCCTCAACCTCAGTTCAAGGGCTAGACTTGTCGTATGTATTAAACCCATGCTCCCTCTATTTCCCATCCTGACAATTCAGAAAGAAACGAAGAAAAACCAAGTCATAAGAGCACACACACACACAGGCAGACACAGTTGTTTCATCATCAAAGGAGTGGAGTCCGGTTCTTATCGTTCATTCATAAGCATAGTCCATGGTCCACGCCCAGAGTTTGCTCTTAAGACAAAAGGGCGTGCCTGGATTCTGAATCAGCGAACCGGAAATCTGGTCCGGTATCGAGAAGGAACTTTGTTTTATCAAAGTCCTCTGACCGTGTTTGCTGAGTTGAGTTCAGATTATCTTGGTTTCGATGTCTCAGTCGTTGATCGTAGATGAGTGCGGCCAGGGAGTCTCGGCTTAAGGTAGATAAGGTCAATGCTCCTCGACTCGGCCATATGTGATCATGTCGCCATTCGGGTGCATTCACTCGGATAACACCGCTCGCTTTATTTTTTCCCGGGCGGTATTCGCGAATCGGCTACGTTTCGTCGAAAGCTTCCCATGCGAGAAGTCTAGATTGGTTCGATGAGCAAGAGCAACATGTGCTCATGCAGATTGCAATTGTGGAGGAGCATTGGAGGAGCATTAAAAAAAATCAAGCAACCGGTTACACACTTTGGGGATACACATTTGCAGGCTACAAAGAAACTGGTTAGTTACGCAATACGTAAAGACACAGGAGAGAGAGAGAGAGAGAGAGAGAGAGAGAGAGAGAGAGAGAGAGAGAGAGAGAGAGAGACGACGACGG